CAATGCAGCTGAAGTAACGTAGCTAACTAACTATTTTATTGCTTATTGTGCAGTGGAGGATAAAAAATACCTGTATAACTAGCTATGTAGCCGATCTGTGTATGGACCCTAAAACGTTTGGTATAAATATTAGTTCAGAACCTAGCTATGAACCTCAGCTATCATAGCCGGTTGTATCAACTTCAAAACAGTCTGAATGACATTAATGAAGCCTATGGATTGAGTTGAATATAATATAACTTTGTGCCAAGGGATGCAAGTCTTAAATACATGTAGTTATTACCATGCATGAGATCCCCACATTGTAGCCTGTACATTGAATATATTCACTGATCATGTACTCTACCTTGGCAAATAAAGGTGCAGTTCAGGTATGAATGTCTGTGAGACATTATCTTTCAGTCATATCACATACCAGGAGTATCAAACTCTAGTCTTTTAATGAACACTTTGTCTGCATGTATGTGTTACAATTATACACTTCAACAGTGTTTATCAATCCTGGTCCTGGGACATCAATGGTTACACATTGTAACAATGCAATAGACCTCAAACATGATTTAACTAGTTAAAGGTTGATTTGTAATTCATATATACAGAAACTGAATTTAAAAACAGTACACTACACTTCCTATGCATCATGTAAATACTCTAAAACCAGTTAATCTCACTATCTAATTTCCTTAATCTGCATTGATCTGAGGACACAGGATAGGTTAATTTCAACCAGTAGAGAATGTGAAACGCTTTATTGTAAGAAGTTAATTATCCAAGTGTTATAAATACATAATACATGCATTATAAATATTATAATTGTAATATATTCTAAATACAAGTTCGATCTGTACTTCAATGCACATCTGGTGTGCATTATAAAAACAGAGGAAGAAAGCAGAGGCGGGTAGAGAGGTGTAAGAAATAGTATAAAAGACAATAAGGGAAAGAGGTAAGAACAGAGGAGCAGGGAAGACAGCATATGATTAATGAATTACAGTGCTACCCTAATATTATCTCAGTTCATCACAATTACATAATAGTGTCTCTAGTGGTGTCTCCTAACAGCCTTGGGCCCCCAGTTGGCCCGAAGGTTATCTTAAGAGTGGGTGAGATGGTGATGACGGGACCCTCTCTCACATCAAAACATACCTGCAGACGAGAGACAGATGGAGAGAGATAGCATGATTAAGCCTTGTTAAAAAAAAAAAAATTCTAACACTGTCAGTCAACATAATCATCAGGAGGTGAAATGCAAAACTAACCTTGTATCATTAACTCTGAGACTACTACATCTCTCTGTATTTCAATGTAAACCATCTCTTTACTTCCTGTTGACCCGACCAAGTGACCTCTCACCTCTGATCATGCTGTGCCCTCTGTGTCAGCCAGTTCAGATGCGAGAGGGGTTCACCAACACAGCTGATATAACCTAGAGGATTTAAGGAGAAGGGGGGAGAGGGATGAAGTGAAGGAGAGAGACTTATTTAGAAAATAAGGTAGTTAAAGAGACAATGTTCAACAGGAATCTGTGTGTGGTCTCACCTGGTGTCCACACTAAGTGGCTGCAGAGTACTTTATACTGAAAAACATGCACAGACACATGAGGACAAACAATATAGCGTAGTTATATAAATGTAAATAATGAAGTGCCTTACTATTCTCCGTGGTTGGTCCTCTTGCCTATTCTTTGAAGGTGGAAGGAGCCACAGTTATACACCTGAGCCTGCTTACTGCACAACACAACACAATCCATCAATCAGATTGATACATGAGTGTGTAGGTGTGGGTTATATGGTGTCTAATTGTTCTAAATGTTTTCAATGTGGATGGCTCTTAAAAGAGCATAGTGTAGTCTATGGTGTTGTCAGGGAACAGCACCCTCTTCAAAGAAGTAGGAGGTGAAGATCTCCCGCACATGGATTGCCTCCCGTGCTGCGTTGTTGGCCCCCATCCTTGAAACATCCTGCAGAGCAGTAGACCTCTCCTCTGGCACACGGCGGTGAGCTGCAGATCTGGTCCTCGTGTCCATCCTCATGAGGTTATGCAGGACACAGGTAGCCTTCACACGCCTGAATTCCCCCAGGATGCAGTCCCAGATGGCCCTGGTCACCAAACCTTGCAATGCCCTACACGGTAACTGTAGGCAATAGTTTTGAAGGAATCTCCAGTTACAAGGTATCTGTAGGAATATGGAAGAATGTCATTATTAGACTTTTACATCACCAGGTCATTGTGGATTACTAAAGTATAATATCCCTTATAACAAATAACGATAACATTGGATAGATAGATGCATGTGCACACACGTGCATGTGACAATAGCAGGATCATATCAAGGATAGCATCAAAAATTAATACATAAATACCACTTGAAGCTTGATGATGACTTGATCAGCAAAAACGTGCACCCCTTTGAGTCCTCAGGACCAGGACTGAGAACCACTGCTCTTCATTGGGACCTCTTCATCTGCAGACAGGCTTTCACAGCTCTCTGTATCTGAGGACAGAAAACCTCACAAGAAACAGACTTCATTATACTCAAATTAGACCGCACTGAATATTATGTTACTATTATCTCCATCCTGACTTCTAGGGACTGGAACTACACAAAGTACCTGCCCTATCCAGAATAGCCTACTCTCTCACTGACAGATGGGGCTGCTATCCTTTCACTCTCCTCCATGGCTGTTAGCTAGCTACCTACAAATGCATTTGGAGTTTGTTTCTCACAGTGATAAATATATCAAGATTGCTAGCTAATATGAAGTTTGGTAGCTGGTAAAATGTTATTCACTTAGCTAACTCCCTATACAGTATGTCAAGTTGGCTAGATAACTAGCTAGCTACGTTAGCAGCTCATTTGAGTTAGCCTACACTGTAGCTAGTTAGCTAATAATGCATCGTTTGTTTTTACATTTTCGAAATGTATTTACTTACTTGAATAGGTAGGTTCTCCCAGCCATGTTGACGATTGGAAACAGGGCAGCAAAGTTTGGTTGTTACCAGATCGGTTTAGAGCATATTACTATTTACCTGTGAATAACCAGACCTTCATACAAACTTGCTATGCTGAATTCTTGACGCACAATCGAACGTGCTGCCAGCACTCCCACAAGCGAGCCACTCTGGGCGGATGACGCTAGTGTACACGGTGCATTAGGGCAGAGAGACTTCTATCTTGTCAGTGTATCCATACTATTTGGTATCATTGAATCAGTAGGCCTATGTCTCATTGATGAGTGTGTTCGTAAATTCAATCTGGAGTGCCAGAGTGCGCTCTGGGCGTTCGTAAATTCAGAGCGTTGTCAGAGTTTCGCGTTCAGAGCGCACACGTGACGCTCTGGCCGACAGTAGATTGATCCGAGTGTTCTGTCCTCACTAGCAGAGCTGGTTAGGCTGTTTTCATGTTATCCAGAGCGTTGGTGACTGTAACTGTGCTGTTGACAACAATTTAATAACGCTTTTTGCCGACGTTTACTGACACCAGACATAATCAACGGGTGTTGAGCGTACGTAAATTCATCAGTTATTCTGCGGTCTGGCACACTCAGACGAGAGTGTTCTGAAATCTGAGTAGATAGCCAGAGGGAATTTACGAACGCACCCTATGTTTCCCATTGTTCCAACCATAGGGTTCCAACAAATGTAGAGTGCCATCTGCTGGTCTCATGTCAAAACGCAGGGCAGCTGTTGTACAATATTAAAATGGTAAAAAAATTATAATATCTAAATTTGATTTCCAGGGCTATATGACATGTAGGCTATTACATTATTTAAGTCATTAATTAAGTAAGTATCTACTTTCACAGGGGTAGTAGAGGAATTGGACATATAATTTTGGTCCATATTGTAGTAACATTTTAAGTACAACACTGATGAGGCCTGGTAAAAAATGACTTAATACATTTTAAGTTTGAGTAATAAATTATTGTACGCCTACAAAACCAAGATTTTGAACAATATCTGCCCAACAGTCTGGATGAATAGGTATCTGAACTGGATTTATAGACTATACACATGTTAAATTGTAGCGTTTGAATGACAAATATACATTTTAAATCTATGAGCTTTGTTTTTATGTTTATTATGGTATGTTTATTTTTGTAACAAACTAAACAAAAACAATACTGTTTGCTAGGCCAAAACATGAGAACCGGTGAATGGAGGACAGAAAAAACAGATTGCGCGTGTGCTTGAGAGATGTGAGTGAGGGGAGGGAGAAAAGAGAGCGAGCCAGCCGCCTTCAAACATGGCGTCTTCATAGGAAAATAACTAAAAATATTTTTTTAAACGAGGCCTACTTTCTACCGTCTTCATTGATTTTCGGAATTTAGATTATGGTTTCCAGACCTCGCGATATCGTCGTTATCATTATTTTCTAATGTAAAAAGAGAAGGAAGCGTAGCAGGCTTTATAAATAGTAACCCAGTTTTATTTTGATGCGTCGACAGGGCTAGCTAGCATTTGCTAATTTAGCCCACAATTTCAGGGTGGGAAGGTATTTTGCATGCAAAAAAAAAAAGACGATAATATGGTATCTTATCGTTTGATACATTTTGCAGCAATCGTGAGATATCGGTGGTCATTTTATAAATCTCGGAATTTGCTCAGTAGATAAAATAAAGGGGATGAGATACGGCAGGAAAGGACGCGTTTGATCAAATGTTTCTCTGCAATTTATCGATGATTGACAAATACAAAAGTGTTATCATGATCGTGTATAACTTCGTTGCAAATTGGCAATTGTGGAAATGATATTTGGAGAAAGTGTAGGAAAGGAGAGACTGATTTTGGTGGTGGTTGGAGTACACCCCCAGACCCCCCTCTTTTTCATCCAGTTTTCTCCTCCCCTCTATTTATCTCTTTCAATATGCTGTTTATCATTCCCAAGGACTTGTTTATGAAACGGGGAAAATAGTCTAAAATCGATCACGGGTAAGACGGATACGCCAATTCTAACAAAATTGCTTTCGTTCTTGTCACACACATCTCATAAAATCAAAATGGATAGAAATTACCCGGGAACAGGGTTCGGTGATTTGGGCGCAGGAGCAGGATGGAGTTACGAAAGATCGGCGAAAGCAAGGTAAGCAACTGATCCAGTCCATATAATGTTTAAACACTAGCTAATATATTGCATTCTCTTTGCGTTTTTGTAATCGATTGGTCGTTAATTTGGTACATTGACTTCGATCTGTATCCTGCCTATTGGCAGCATCGCGTTGTCATCCAGGTTGTTGGGTGTTGTTACTATTATAAACAGCAGGGAATGGAACAAGCGGGGTGGAAGAACTAGCTAACAGAACTCTTGAAAATGCATGGCATACAATTGACAGACTAGATGCGTGGTTTTAGGTAGACAGAGGGAGGGAACGGGAGCAAAGGGGGATGGGTTGTAACTAGCTGCTCTTAGTAACGCAGGTGTATTTACATAAACTAGCGTTGCTTTCAATTGTTTTGGGTTGCACAAAAACAGTCCCGCGGAAGGCAGAAAGGTAATACAATTCCATTTCAATTTACTGTGCCGGTGGGCAGGACATTTGAGGAAATCTGAGACAAAATATCTTAAGGATAGTATTATTAAATAGACTTTCCAAACGTGGGTCTGTTGTAGACCCACTTCCTCTCTGCTTACCTCATGTCAAAATAAAAGTCTTGCACTTGCGCCATGTGGACAAAAAAGGAATAGCTTGTTTGGGATGTTTATTTAGAATAGCTTGATGCCCAATTTGTTTCTAACCAGTTTTCTCCATTGACATTGCATGATACATTTGTTTCACAAAGTAATTGAGATCCCTCAGCCTGTGAAGTGTCAAAGTTGTTACCATGTAACATTTTTGAGTGGCAAGTGATTACCATTACATTTACATTTTAGTCATTTAGCAGACACTCTTATCCAGAGCGACTTACAGTCAGTGAGTGCATACATTTTCCATACTGACCATGAGGGAGATTACCTAAAAACACACCAATTTGATACAGCTATGACCGGAAGTTACTTTTTTGTAGCAGGTAAGTCGCTCTGGATAAGAGCGTCTGCTAAATGACCTAAATGTAAATTAGGCTAGGTTAAGGTTAGCAAAAATGCTCTTCTAATCTGCTATGAAAGTAATTTCTGGTCGTAGTGGTATCAAAGTGGCGTGCTTTTAGGGAGTCCCAGCACGAGGTGCCAGTGGTTGAATGTTGGCAACTCTCATGCTATGAAGAATGATAATGATAGTCAACACCCAGTCTTGCTAGCAGACCAAAATACATTAGCTAAGTCTTTATTTCAATTTCTCTTATCAATCCATAGCTATCTACTATGATTTGGATTGCTAGCTAGCTAGGCTACCTAATTTAGTCGACTGGTCAATTGTTTGGTCGATAGGCTGTTGGTCGACCGAGATTTCTTTAGTCGAGCAATAGCAAAAATAACAAATTCATGGTGTACAAGACACCTGTCTGATTCACACCTGTCTGAGTGGACTGATCCATTGTGGAGACCGTGGGGATGGCACAGTCCATCAGTTTAAGACATGTGCTACTGAAATGGTATATGGTTATATTATGAAAGAACAATGGAGCAACACAAATAAAAATAATAGGATTTTATAACTAATGCGCTTTCTCCTGCGTTGGATAGTGGTCACTGTTCTGAAACACATCAATGGGCTGTTGAATTGGTGCCTTTTCCAAGACCATGTTGCTATGTGCATAATAGCAAAGTTAACCAGCATGTTGGTGTTGAGAACAATGCGGTGGAGGCAGCATCGGAGTTAGGAGATGAGAAAACAGTCCTTGCCTTAATTGTCTAAGAAAAGTGAGAAGAGAGGAAACCCCAACTTAATTAGGTCTATAATCAATAGCCTAACTGTTAAATGTGCCTGACTTTATAAATCATCCATATACAGTACCAGTCAAAAGTTTGGACACACCTACTCATTCAAGGGTTTTTCTTTATTTTTACTATTTTCTACATTGTAGAATAATAGTGAAGACATCAAAACTATGAAATAACCCATATGGAATCATGTAGTAACCAAAAAAGTGTTAAACAAATCAAAATATATTTTATATTTGAGATTCTTCAAATAGCCACCCTTTGCCTTGATGACAGCTTTGCATACTCTTGGCATTCATGAGGAATGCTTTTCCAACAGTCTTGAAGGGGTTTCCACATATGCTGAGCACTTGTTGGCTCCTTTACCTTCACTCTGCGGTCCAACTCATGCCAAACCATCTCAGTTGGGTTGAGGTCGGGTGATTGTGGAGGCCAGATCATCTGATGCAACACTCCCTCACTCTCCTTGGTCAAATAGCCCTTACACAGCCTGGAGGTGTGTTTGGGGTTATTGTCCTGTTGAAAAACAAATTATAGTCTCACTAAGCCTAACCAGATGGGATGGCATATCGCTGCAGAATGCTGTGGTAGCCATGCTGGTTAAGTGTGCCTTGAATTCTAAATAAATCACAGACAGTGTCACGAGCAAAGCACCATCACACCACCTCCTCCTGCTTCACGGTGGGAACCACACATGCGGAGATCCTCTGTTCACAGGTTTTTAGAAATGTTTGCAAATGTATTACAAATAAAAAAAACTATCACATTTACATAAGTATTCAGACCCTTTACTCAGTACTTTGTTGAAGTACCTTTGGCAGCGATTACAGCCTCGAGTTTGACGCTACAAGCTTGGCACACCTGTATTTGGGGAGTTTCTCCAATCTTCTCTACAGATCCGCTCAAGCTCTGTCAGGTTGGATGGGGAGCGTCGTTGCACAGCTATTTTAAGGTCTCTCCAGAGATGTTAGATCAGGTTCATGTCCGGGCTCTGGCTGGGACACTCAAGGACATTCAGAGACTTGTCCCGAAGCCACTCCTGCGTTGTCTTGGCTGTGTGCATTGGGCCGTTGTCCTGTTGGAAGGTGAACCTTCACCCCAGTCTGAGGTCCTGAGTGCTCTGGAGCAGGTTTTCATCAAGGATCTCTTTGTACTTTCCCTCGATCCTGACTAGTCTTCCAGTCCCTGCCGCTGAAAAACATCCCCACAGCATGATGCTGCCACCACCATGCTTCACCGTAAGGATGGTATTGGCCAGGTGATGAGCGGTGCCTGGTTTCCTCCAGACGTGACGGTTGGCATTCAGGCCAAAGAGTTCAATCTTGGCTTCATCAGACCAGAGAATCTTGTTTCTCATGGTCTGAGAGTCCTTTAGGTGCCTTTTGGCAAACTCCAAGCAGGCTGTCGTGCCTTTTACTGAGGAGTGGCTTCCTTCTGGCCATTCTACCATAAAGGCCTGATTGGTGGAGTGCTGCAGAGATGGTTGTCCTTCTGGAAGGTTCTCCCATCTCCACAGAGGAACTCTGGAGCTCTGTCAGAGTGACCATCAGGTTCTTGGCACTTCCCTGACCAAGGCCATTCTCCCCTGATTGCTTAGTTTGGCCGGGCGGCCAGCTTTAGGAAGAGTCTTGGTGGTTCCAAACTTCTTCAATTTTAAGAATGATGGAAGCGACTGTTCTTGGGGACCTTCAATGCTGCAGGAATTTTTTGGTACACTTCCCCAGATCTGTGCCTCGACACAATCCTATCTCGGAGCTCTACAGACAATTCCTTTGACCTCATGGCTTGGTTTTTGCTCTGATATGCACTGTCAACTGTGGGATCTTTATACAGACCTTTCCTTCTCATGTCCAAACAATTGAATTTACCACAGGTGGACTCCAATCAAGTTGTAGAAACATCTCAAGGATGGTCAATGGAAACAGGATGCACCTGAGCTCAATTTTGAGGGTCTGAATACTTTTTTATCATGTTTTTTATTTGCAAGAAAATCTAAACCTGTTTTTGCTTAGACATTATGGGGTATAGTGTGTAGATTGATGAGAAAAAGAAAAAGAAAAGATAAGGCTGTAACGTAACAATGTGGAAAAAGTGAAGGGGTCTGAATACACTATGTCCATGAGTTGCAGTGTTATGTTGGCATCGTTCATATTTGGGGTCAACTTGGGAATAGAATTTGTCCAGCTTGGCATTTGTGTAGTGACTTCTATGTATCACTTTAAAGTGTGTAACAACATGCCTGGTACATATTTTATTTTTATCCCAAGTATTAGACATTTCAATTCCTAAATCCTGTTCCCAAGTTCATATCAATGATTGTAGGCATAGAGTGCTGCTGATATACATCCTTTTGCAGTTGGGTTGGTTTTAACATATCATCCAAAATGGTGTGAAATCACTTGTAATTTTTCTGGCCAATCACTGGTTTGTAAGTATCTAAAGAAATGGGCATTTGGAATATTGAATGTATTTGAAATATATTCAAATAATGCAAAGGTGCCATCTTTATAGAGGTCATAGTGATTTCACACCACTTTGTCTCCATATATCAAAAGCTTTGTCTGCAAAGGATGGTGGAAATAGATGGTTACAAATTTCAAGGGGAGTAGGGAAGAATATCTCTATCTAGGTTCAGCCTTAGGTTATTCCATATCTTGAGAGTTTGTCTGACCAGGTAATTCTTACTGAAGGTGGCAAATGGAGCTAGAAGGGGAGCGCATCCAATAACTCTTAACGATGTGGCCATACAGGATTTGGATTCTATGATTATAATGCCAGAGTGGGCAGGGTCATGAGATATTACATACAGAGATATTACGAATGTTTGCAGCCCAATAATATTTCTGAAAATGAGGGAGCCCCGAACCTCCTAGTTCTTTTGGTTTTTGCAGGATGGCTTTAATGATTTGTGGCTTTTTATTATACCATATAAACTCTGAGATCATTGTGTCCAGCACCTAAAACAAGTTTTAGGTATAGCAATTAGAATACACCGGAAAAAATCGAGGAATTTCGGTAGGACGTTCATTTTGATAGAATTTATTAGACTCATAAGTGATATTGGTAGGGTTGTCCACTTTATCAGGGTCTTTCTTAGTCATTTCCAATTGCTGCAAGTCTGACGGAGAGTGTGTAACAATAATTCCTAACTATTTAAAACAATCTGTAACATTTTTTTATGGAAAACTAAGAGTAGTATTAGACAGCAGTCTTTGTCATTGGGTACAGTTAACTTTAGCTGTAATTTAGTTTGTATCCTGAGAGGTTCCCAAATTTTGTTAAAATATTAAGCACCAGAGGAATGGAAGCAACCGGGTCTGAAATGTGTAAAAGCAAGGCATCTGCATATAGACACTTTCTGTTCTCTGTCCTCTCTTTTCACTCCACTAATAATTTAATTGGCCCGGATTGAGATGGCCAGGGGTTCTATTGCAATAGCAAATAGGAGTCCGGAGAGTGAACACCCTTGTCTAGTTCCACGTTTTAGCGAGAAATATTGTGTTTTGTGGCCATTTGTTCTTAATAAAGCACATGATAAAGCATACAATCATTTTATCCAGGAAATGAAATTGCAGCCAAATCCAAATCTTCCTAATGTTGCAAAGAACCCCATTCTAATCCCACTCTACACGATCAAATGCCTTTTCGGCATCATGTTATTACAACCTCTGTTTTATTTGAATCCGTAGGGTTATACAGTGCATTCGGAAAGTATTCAGACCCCTTTTTCCACACTTTTCCTCATCAATATACACACAATACCCCATAAAGACTAAGCGAAAACAGGTTTTTAGATTTTTTTGTGAATTTATTACAAATAAAAAACATACCTTATTTACATAAGTATTCAGAACCTTTGCTGTGAGACTCGAAATTGAGCTCAGGTGCATCCGGTTTCCATTGATCATCACTGAGATGTCTCTATAACTTGATTGGAGTCCACCTGTGGTAAATTAATTTGATTGGACATGATTTGGAAAGGCAAACACCTGTCTATATAAGGTCCCACAGTTGGCAGTGCACATCAGAGCAAAAACCAAGCCATGAAGTCGAAGGAATTGTCCATAGAGCTCCGAGATAGGATTGTGTCGAGGCACAGATCTGTGTAAGGGTACCAAAACATTTCTGCAGCATTGAACCCCCCCTAGAACACAGTGGCCTCCATCATTCTTAAATGGAAGAAGTTTGGAACCACCAAGACTCTTCCTAGAGGTGGCCGCCCGGCCAAACTGAGCAATCGGGGGAGAAGGGCCTTGGTCAGGGAGGTGACCGAGATCCCGATGGTCACTCTGACATAGCTCCCGAGTTCCACTGTGGAGATGGGCGAACCTTTCAGAAGGACAAACATCTCTGCAGCACTCCACCAATCAGGCCTTTATGGTAGAGTGGCCAAATGGAAGCCACTCCTCAATAAAAGGCAAATGACAACCCGCTTGGAGTTTGCCAAAAGGCACCTAAAGGACTCAGACCATGAGAAACAAGATTCTCTGGTCTGATGAAACCAAGATTGAACTCTTTGGCCTGAATGCCAAGCGTCACGTCTGGAGGAAACCTGGCACCATCCCTACGGCAAATCATGGTGGTGGCAGCATCATGCTGTGGGGATGTTTTTCTGCGGCAGGGACCAGTCAGGATCGAGGGAAAGATGAATGGAACAAAGTACATATAGACTTGATGAAAACCTGCTCCAGAGCGCTCAGGACCTCAGACTGGGGCAAAGGTTAACCTTTTGACAGGACAACGACCCTAAGCACACAGCCAAGACAACGCAGGAGTGGCTTCGGGACAAGACTATGAATGTCCTTGAGTGGCCCATCCAGAGCCCGGACTTGAACCAGATCGAACATCTCTGGAGAGACCTTACAATAGCTGTGCAGCGACACTTACCATCCAACCTGACGGAGCTTAAGGATCTGCAGAGATGAATGGGAGAAACTCCCCAAATACAGGTGTGCCAAGCTTGTAGCGTCATACCCAAGATGACTTGAGGCTGTAATCACTGCCAAAGGAGCTTCAACAAAGTACTGAGTAAAGGGTCTGAATACTTATGTAAATGTAATATTTCACATTTTAGAATAAGGCTGTAATGTAACAAAATGTGGAAATAGTCAAGAGGTCTGAATACTTTCCAAATGCACTGTAGATTGTGTTAAATAGCCGTCTAAGATTACAGGAGGATAGGTGATTTATAAAACCGGTTTGGTCCAATTATATTATCTCTTGAATAATTGTTTCCAACCATTGGGATAGAACTTTACCTTCAATCTTTGCATCCACATTAATTAAGGATATGGGGCGATAGGAACTACACTCACATGGGTATTTTATTTGGTTTTAACAATAATGAGATGCATGTTTGGTTCATTGATGGAGCAAGTAATTTGTTTTCAAAAGATTCATAGTAAACTGCATGGAAAATAGGAGCGAATTGGACATCACATTTTTTGTAAATGTCAGATTTGAAGCCGTCAGGTCCACATGACTTATTAGTTTGCATTTACTTAATAGCTTTTTTTATTTAATTGACAGTTAGCTAATTGTTCATTACACTACATGACCAAAAGTATGTGGACACCTGCTCCTTAAACATCTCATTCCAAAATCATGGGCATTAATGTGGAGTTGGTCCCACCCTTTGCTGCTATAACAGCCTCCACTCTTCTTGGAAGGCTTTCCACTAGATGTTGGAACATTGCTGCGGGGACTTGCTTCCATTCAGCCACGAGCATTAGTGAGGTCGGGCACTGATTTTGGTCGATTTAGGCCCGCAGTCGGCGTACCAATTAATCTCAAAGGTGTTCAATGGGGTTGAGGTCAGGGCTTTGTGCAGGCCAGTCAAGTTCTTCCACACCGATCTCGACAAACCATTTCTGTATGGACCTCGCTTTGTGCACAGTGGCATTGTCATGCTGGAACAGGAAAGGGCCTTCCTCCAACTCTTGCCTCAAAGTTGGAATCACAGAATTGTCTAGAATGTAATTGTAAGCTGTAGCGTTAAGATTTCCCTTCACTGGAACTAAGGGGCCTAGCACGAACCAAAACTTTACAATTGGCACTATGCATTGGGGAAGGTAGCGTTCTCCTGGCATCCGCCAAACCCAGATTCGTCCGTCGGACTGCCAGATGGTGAATTGTGATTCATCACTCCAGGGAATGCGTTTCCACTGCTCCTGAGTCCAATGGCGGCGAGCTTTACACCACTCCAGCCGACGCTTGGCATTGCGCATGGTGATCTTAGGCTTGTGTGCAGCTGCTCGGCCATGTAAACCCATTTCATGAAGCTCCCGGCGAACAGTTATTGTGTTGACGTTGCTTCCAGAAGCAGTTTTGAACTCGGTAGTGAGTGTTGCAATCAAGGACAGACGATTTCTACGTGCTTCAGCACTCGGCGGTCCCATTCTGTGAGCTTGTGTGTGCCTACCACTTCGTGGCTGAGCTGTTGTTGCTCCTAGATGTTTCCACTTCACAATCACAGCATTTACAGTTGACCTGGGCAGCTCTAGCAGGGCAGAAATTTGACCAACTGACTTATTGGAAAGGTGGCATCCTATGAAGGTGCCACGTTGAAAGTCACTGATCTCTTCAGTAAGGCCATGGAGATTGCATGGCTGTGTGCTCGATTTTTATACACATGTCAGCAAAGGGTGTAGCTGAAATAGCAAAATCCACTAATTTAAAGGGGTGTCCACATACCTTTGTATATATTTATCCTCTGGACTCCGACATTGCTCGTACTAATATTTTCCATTCTTTTACGTTTAGATTTCTGTGTATTATTCAATATTACTGCACTGTTGGAGCTTGGAACAAGCATTTCGCTACACCCGCAATAACATCTGCTAAATATGTGTATGGGACCAATAAAATGTGATTTGAATTTCAATGCACAGGGATACCATGACGAAATCCTGAGGCCCATTGTCGTGCCATTCATCACCTCATGTTTCAGCATGATAATGCACAGCCCCATCGCAAGGATCTGTACACAATTCCTGGAAGCTGAAATTGTCCCAGTTCTTCCATGGCCTGCATACTCACCAGAAATGTCACCCATTGAGCATGTTTGGGATGCTCTGGATCGATGTGTATGACAGCGTGTTCCTGACAATATCCAGCAACTTCGCACAGCCATTGAAGAGGAGTGGGTCAACATTCCACATGCCACAGTCAACAGCCTGATGAACTCTATGCGAAGGAGATGTGTCGCACTGCATGAGGCAAATGGTGGTTACACCAGATACTGACTGGTTTAATGATCCACGCCCCTACCTTTTTTTTAAGGTATCTGTGACCAACCGATGCATATCTGTATTCCCAGTCATGTGAAATCTATAGATTAGGGCCTAATTAATTAATTTCAACTGACTGATTTCCTTATGAACTGTAACGCAGTTTTATCTTTTTGTTCAGTGTAGATAGGCTTATAGGCTAGATGTTTTAACATAAATGCGCCATTCTATCAAACGACTTCAATTCTTGAAATTTGCTTGTTTAACCCACACCTAAAATTAGGTATTATGTATAACACCACCACCAACAACAACAACAATCCTAGGAGGGGTTACAGGCATAAAGTACTGTGTTGGTAAAATATCACATAGTCTTTAAGATTTTTATTTTTTTTAATCTTCTTTTTTGGAGAATGCTAATTATTCTCTTGTTACTGATTTTGTGTAATCCATAGCCTAAATGTTTTTATTTTTACAATGTCAAGAATGGTGACCTACAGTATTCTTGCCATATCATTTTTTTTTAGGATGGAGATGCACTCTAAGTTGTTTTCTGAACAGAGTGTGTTGTACTTGGTCATGACATTCAAACCAAACAATCCACTTAGTATTTACATATTTGTTGCATATGTTTCAATTTCACAGCTTCTCCCAAAGGTCACCCTTTGGACAAAGGTTTATGGAAATTAAAATGGACTTGAATGGTTAATTACTACCTCTTCTCCTCCTCCCCAGTCTCGTCTATGGAAGCTCCAGATCATCACATCCTGAGTCGGAGCTTCTCCATCGACAAGCCTACGGCACTCCCCACCCTCTGCAGGGCTATGCCACCAATCACCACCCGGGCAGCTCCGGCCAAGGAGGTGCTTGGGGAGCAGGACGGAGTTTGGGTGAGAGACCTATCACACACCTTATTATTGTGTCGCCACTTGCCACAGTATAGGGCTCTCGGAATGATATATGACTGGCCATGCTGCTGGTACTTAGGTATGCAGCCACTGACAAATGCATTTCACGGCATTATATTGGAGGCAGTTTCTATGGAAAACACTTGTGTGAGGGAAAAAAAACTATTTTTTCACCAGGTAACATATAGGGCCACATTTTATTTAGAACATCTGTTAGGCTTACGTCATCATATTATGGTGTAATGGACACTCCTTGACCTATTCAGTCCAGTTATACAATTCTATAACATAGGTATAGCTGTCTCTGTTAATGCCCTGTGCCCGGTTCCTGATAGCGATGGAACTTAGGCTTCCAATTGTTTTTAACGATGCGTCGTTCCTACGACGGCTGAAGATGTAACATGCATTTCCCAAAACACCACGCAGAGAGAACTTTCGCTAAGTGCGTTGTTGGAGCATGTGTCGATACTGATGGGATCGAAACAAGGCAGCGCTGCTCTCGGATCAGCTTTCTCCATTCAACTCTTACCTTAAAGTGGGAGTGCAGTTAATGTGATTTTCCAGTTTTCAAAAAATGATATTTCCACACTGAGGTTGAAATAACACTGAAATTATGAAAATTATGATAGTACCATTTTTGTCTAAGAGCTGTTTGCAAAAAAGGCTTGGATTTTCCGTCTGTTCAGGTGGGATGGAGTTTTTGGGCCGCCGCATAACATCACACGGCGATCTGATTCTAATAGACCAATTCATCTGTTATTTGCATATCCTCCTACACTGCTTCTGGCCCCGCCCGGTCATATTGACATTCCATTCCTCAATGTTGTCAGCGTGCAGAGATAATTCCTACTTTAAAGCAATGAGCAAAAGCAAGATGATAAATTGTGCAGTAGCTGGCTGCAAGGCAGCAAATGTTTCTTTGCACTGTCTTCCATCTGAATAATCACTTCGTCTGATTTGGCCAGAGAAGTTCAATCCATGGGCATATGAACACACTTCGCATTTCAGGCTATGCATTCATTTACATTTACATTTTAGTCATTTAGCAGACGCTCTTATCCAGAGCGACTTACAGGAGCAATTAGGGTTAAGTGCCTTGCTCAAGGGCACATTTACGTCATTTAGCAGACGCTCTTATCCAGAGCGACTCACAAATTGGTGCATTCACCCTATAGCCAGTGGGATAACCACTTTACAATTTTTTTTTGGGGGGGGGGGGGGGATTACTTTATCCTATCCCAGGTATTCCTTAAAGAGGTGGGGTTTCAAATGTCTCCGGAAGGTGGTGAGTGACTCCGCTGTCCTGGCGTCGTGAGGGAGCTTGTTCCACCATTGGGGTGCCAGAGCAGCGAACAGTTTTGACTGGGCTGAGCGGGAACTATGCTTCCGCAGAGGAAGGGGAGCCAGCAGGCCAGAGGTGGATGAACGCAATGCCCTCGTTTGGGTGTAGGGACTGATCAGAGCCCGAAGGTACAGAGGTGCCGTTCCCCTCACTGCTCCATAGGCAAGCACCATGGTCTTGTAACGGATGCGAGCTTCAACTGGAAGCCAGTGGAGTGTGCGGAGGAGGGGGGTGACGTGAGAGAACTTGGGAAGGTTGAACACCAGACGGGCTGCGGCATTCTGGATGAGTTGTAGGGGTTTAATGGCACAGGCAGGGAGGCCAGCCAACAGCGAGTTGCAGTAATCCAGACGGGAGATGACAAGTGCCTGGATTAGGACCTGTGCCGCTTCCTGTGTAAGGCAGGGTCGTACTCTCCGAATGTTGTAGAGCATGAACCTGCAGGAGCGGGTCACCGCCTTGATGTTAGCGGAGAACGACAGGGTGTTGTCCAGGGTCACGCCAAGGCTCTTCGCACTCTGGGAGGAGGACACAACGGAGTTGTCAACCGTGATGGCGAGATCATGGAACGGGCAGTCCTTCCCCGGGAGGAAGAGCAGCTCCGTCTTGCCAGAGTTCAGCTTGAGGTGGTGATCCGTCATCCATACTGATATGTCTGCCAGACATGCAGAGATGCGATTCGCCACCTGGTTATCAGAAGGGGGAAAGGAGAAGATTAGTTGTGTATCGTCAGCGTAGCAATGATAGGAGAGGCCATGTGAGGATATGACAGAGCCAAGTGACTTGGTGTATAGGGAGAAAAGGAGAGGGCCTAGAACTGAGCCCTGGGGGACACCAGTGGTGAGAGCACGTGGTGCGGAGACAGCTTCTCGCCACGCCACTTGGTAGGAGCGACCGGTCAGGTAGGACGCAATCCAGGAGTGAGCCGCGCCGGAGATGCCCAGCTCGGAGAGGGTGGAGAGGAGGATCTGATGGTTCACAGTATCAAAGGCAGCAGACAGGTCTAGAAGGACAAGAGCAGAGGAGAGAGAGTTAGCTTTAGCAGTGCGGAGAGCCTCCGTGACACAGAGAAGAGCAGTCTCAGTTGAATGACCAGTCCTGAAACCTGACTGGTTTGGATCAAGAAGGTCATTCTGAGAGAGATGGCAAGAGAGTTGGCTAAAGACGGCACGCTCAATAGTTTTGGAAAGAAAAGAAAGAAGGGATACTGGTCTGTAGTTGTTGACATCAGTGGGATCGAGTGTTGGTTTTTTGAGAAGGGGAGCAACTCTCGCTCTCTTGAAGACGGAAGGGACATAGCCAGCGGTCAAGGATGAGTTGATCAGCGAGGTGAGGTAAGGGAGAAGGTCACCGGAGATGGTCTGGAGAAGAGAGGAGGGGATAGGGTCAAGCGGGCAGGTTGTTGGGCGTCCTGCCGTCACAAGTCACAAGATTTTAGGGGGGGGGGGGATTCAGGAGGGAGGAAAATGTGGCAAAGAGCTTCCTAGGGTTAGAGGCAGATGCTTGGAATTTAGAGTGGTAGAAAGTGGCCTTAGCAGCAGAAACAGATGAAGAAAATGTAGAGAGGAGGGAGTGAAAAGATGCCAGGTCGGCAGGGAGTTTAGTTTTCTTCCATTTCCGCTCCGCTGCCCGGAGCTCTGTTCTGTGAGCTCGCAATGAGTCATCAAGCCACAGAGCTGGAGGGGAGGACCGAGCCGGCCGGGAGGATAGGGGACACAGAGAGTCAAAGGATGCAGAAAGGGAGGAGAGGAGGGTTGAGGAGGCAGAATCAGGAGATTGGAGGGAGAAGGATTGAGCAGAGGGAAGAGATGATAGGATGGAAGAGGAGAGAGTAGTGGGAGAGAGAGAGCGAAGGTTGCGGCGGCGCATTACCATCTGTGGAGGGGCAGAGTGAGTAGTGTTGGAGGAGAGCGAGAGAGAAAAGGAAACAAAGTAGTGGTCGGAGACATGGAGGGGAGTTGCAGTGAGATTGGTAGAAGAGCAGCATCTAGTAAAGATGAGGTCAAGCGTATTGCCTGCCTTGTGAGTAGGGGGAGACGGTGAGAGGGTGAGGTCAAAAGAGGAGAGGAGTGGAAAGAAGGAGGCAGAGAGAAATGAGTCAAATGTGGACATAGGGAGGTTGAAATCCCCCAAAACTGTGAGGGGTGAGCCATCCTCAGGAAAGGAACTTATCAAGGCGTCAAGCTCATTGATGAACTCTCCAAGGGAACCTGGAGGGCGATAGATGACAAGGATATTAAGCTTAAATGGGCTAGTGACTGTGACAGCATGGAATTCAAATGAGGAGATAGACAGGTGGGTTAGGGGAAAAATTGAGAATGTCCACTTGGGAGAGATGAGGATTCCTGTGCCACCACCCCTCTGACCAGATGCTCTCGGGGTATGCGAGAACACATGGTCAGACGAGGAGTACAGAAAGTATTCAGTACCCCTTTACTTTTTCCACATTTTGTTACGTTACAGCCTTGTTCTAAAATTGATTAAATCGTTTTTTCCTCATCAATCTACACACAATACCCCATAATGACAAAGCAAAACATTTTTTTTAAACTTTTTGCAAATGTATAAAAAATAAACTATCACATTTACGTAAGTATTCAGACCCTTTACTCAGTACTTTGTTGAAGCACCTTTGGCAGCGATTACAGCCTTGAGTCTTCTTGGGTATGACGCTACAAGCTTGGCACACCTGTATTTGGGGGGTTTCTCCCATTCTTCACTGCAGGTCCTTTCAAGCTCTGTCAGGTTGGATGGGGAGCGTCGCTGCACAACTGTTTTGAGGTCTCAGCAGAGATGTTCGATCGGATTCAAGTCCGGGCTCTGGCTGAGCCACTCAAGGACATTCAGAGACTTGTCCCGAAGCCACTCCTGCATTGTGTTGGCTGTGTGCTTAGGGTCGTTGTCCTGTTGGAAGGTGACCCTTCGACCCAGTCTGAGTTCCTGAGCGCTCTGGAGCAGGTTTTCATCAAGGATCTCTCTGTACTTTGCTCCGTTAAGCTTTCCCTCGATCCTGACTAGTCTTCTAGTCCCTGCCGATAAAAAACATCCCCACAGCATGATGCTGCTGCCACCATGCTTCACCATAGGGATGGTGCCAGGTTTCCTCCAGACGTGACACTTGGCATTCAGGCCAAAGTGTTCGATCTTGGTTTCATCAGACCAGAGAATCTTGTTTCTCATGGTCTGAGAGTCCTTTAGGTGCCTTTTGGCAAGCTCCAAGCCGGCTTTCATGTGCCTTTTACTGAGGAGGCTTCCGTCTGGCCACTACCATAAAGGCCTGATTGGTGGAGTGTTGCAGAGATGGTTGTCCTTCTGGAAGGTTTTCCCATCTCCACAGAGGAACTCTGGAATTCTGTCAGAGTGACCATTGGGTTATTGGTCACCTCCCTGACCAAGGCCCTTCTCCCCCGAATGCTTAGTTTGGCCGGGCGACCAGGCCAAACTTCATCCATTTTAAGAATGATGGAGGCCACTGTGTTCTTGGGGACCTTAAATTCTACAGAAATTTTTTGGGAACCTTCCACAGATCTGTGCCTCGACCCAATCCTGTCTCGGACCTCTCCGGACAATTCCTTCGACCTCATGGCTTGGTTTTTGCTCTGACATGCACTGTCAACTGTGGGACATTTTATATAGACAGGTGTGTGCCTTTCCAAATCATATCCAATCAATTGTATTTACCACAGGTGGACTCCAATCAAGTTGTAGAAACATCTCAAGGATGATCAATGGAAACAGGATGCACCTGAGCTCAATTTCGAGTCTCATAGCAAAGGTTCTGAATGAGAAGCTAAGTGTAGTTGTGTGTGCAATACTGCAACTCTTCCACCTTTCCTGTCAGGGGATGAGATTCTAGTTCTGTAGTTGTGTATAGTATGTCAGTGTTGGAGAAAGCTGGTGCTGACAATGTAAAAAATAAAATATATATATATATAAAAATGACTAGTTTTTTAAAAACTTCATACCATCGATGATTACTCTGTTGCTGCACTATACCTTCCATTTGATTGTGTTTAGCTAACACCCTCTTACTTTCACCATGATCAGTTTTCCTCTCACAGGAACACCCTCCAGAGCTTGAGCACATGTAAAACAATAACTTGGAAAGATATTTACATGCCATGATTTTGACTTTCATTATAACCTTGTTTACAAACAGTTTATTATGTTATGTAAATAACTGATGAGAATTTGAAGAATAAAACAACCTTTCGTTGCAGACTTGTTTCTTTATTTTCAACAACAGAAAACATTCCAGAATGTGTAATTCAAGAGTGTTTACTCATATTTAAAATAAATAATAAGTTATCAGTATATTTTGCTAAATGATGAAATAGACTTTGTGATTATACTGAAGATTATACCATGGGCCGCTGCATCTCAAAGGCCTAAGACAGTAAGTTTCACTTACGCTACTGTGTTTGGACTCAGACGCAGAGGCCTATAGTCTGTCATGTAAATAATCATGATGTTCTGCAATGAATAGACGGCAGACGGTATAGCCCAGGATGGTCCACCATGCAAACAGGCTGTTCTGGGACCTGTCTGCATCTTCTGGTGACTTATTGAAAACAGTACAACAATGATATAGCAAATTAAGATGCATTATGTATTTTCATGACAAAACAAAGTAGCCTACACACCTGTGGAAGTTTGTCGCTTTCAGGGTCCAACTCGGCTCCAACTGACAAGTTGAATAGCATGTGCCCCTTTTTTTTTTTTTTTTTTTAAAGGGGTGAGGGGGTGGGATCTATGATATTATATTAGGCAATCAAGGCTGTATATGTAAATATATTCACATTTGTATCCATCCGCACACCCACAGTCAGACTGAGTATTTCAGTGGGAAGATCTCAATTGCATACTCCTCGCGTCCTCTCTCCTCGTCTCCTTCTCAAAACCCATTGGAGGTAGGAGGGGAGGGACCTCTGTCTTTCTCATCTAATGGGTTTTGAGAAGGAGACTAGGAGAGAGGTATGCAATTGAGATCTTCCCAGTGACCCAAGGAGGTTCAGGGAAATAAATGCTAAAAAATATAAATTTTGGAGTTATATTCAATAAATAAGCACAATCAGTGATTGATTAGTCATATAGGGATGATGTAAAACATCTAATAAAAAATACTGCATGTGGGCTTTAACATTATAATTACATCACAATAATGACATATCAGCTCCTAGAGAGAGATTACCACCTATGGCTGCAAATATTGGGGCAGCTTATTCTGTTATAATAATGCACTTATTCCCACATTTGACACGTCATTGCGCACATGATGTTCAACATCAAATACAGTGCATTCTGAAAATATTCAGACCCCTTCACTTTTTCCATATGTTGTTACTTTACAGATTTATACTAAAATGAATTTAAAAAATCCTCATCAATCTAAGCACAATACCCCATAATGACAAAATGAGAACAGGTTTGTAGAAATTTTTGCTAATTTATAAAAAATTTTTAACGTATTCAGATCCTTTGCTATGACACTCGAAATTAAGCTCAGGTGCATCCTGTTTCCATGGATCATCCTTGAGATGTTTCTACAACTTGATTGGAGTCCACCTTTTTGGTAAATTCAATTAATTGGACATGATTTGGAAAGGCACACACCTGTCTATATAAGGTCCCACAGTTCACAGAGCAAAAACCAAGCCATGAGATCGAAGGACTTGTCCGTAGAGCTCCGAGACAGGATTGTGTTGAGGCACAGATCTGGGGAACGGTACCAAAACATTTCTGCAGCGTTGAAGGTCCCCAAGAACACAGTGGCCTCCATCATTCTTAAATGGAAGAAGTTTGGAACCACCAAGACTCTTCCTAGAGCTGGCCGCCCGGCCAAACTGAGCAATCGGGGGAGAAGGGCCTTGGTCAGGAAGGTGACCAAGAACCCGATGGTCACTCTGACAGAGCTCCAGAGTTCCTCTGTGGAGATGGGAAAACCTTCCAGAAGGACAACCATCTCTACAGCACTCACAAATCAGGCCTTTGGTAGAGTGGCCAGACAGAAGCCACTCCTCAGTAAAATGCACATGACAGCCCACTTGGAGTTTACCAAAAGGCACCTAAAGGACTCTCAGACCATGAGAAACAAGATTCTCTGGTCTGATGAAACCAAGATTGAACTCTTTGGCCTGAATGCAAGCGTCACGTCTGGAGGAAACCTGGCACCATCCTCACGGTGAAGCATGGTGGTGGGGATGTTTTTCAGCGACAGGGACTGGGAGACTAGTCAGGACCGAGGGAAAGATTAATGGAGCAAAGTACAGAGAGATCCTTGATGAAAACCTGCTCCAGAGCGCTCAGGACCTCAGACTGGGGCGAAGGGTCACCTTACAACAGGACAACGATCCTAAGCATACAGCCAAGACAACGCAGGAGTGGCTTCGGGACAAGTCTCTGAATGTCCTTGAGTGGCTCAGCCAGAGCCCAGACTTGAACCCGATCGAACATCTCTGGAAAGAACTGAAAATAGCTGTGCAGCGATGCTACCCATCCAACCTGACAGATCTTGAGAGGATCTGCAGAGAATAATGGGAGAAACTCCCCAAATACACGTGTGCCAAGCTTGCGCTACATACCCAAGAAGCCTTGAGAATGTAATCGTTGCCAAAGGTGCTTCAACAAAGTACTGAGTAAAGGGTCTGAATACTTGGAAATGTGATATTTCTGTTAAAAAAATTTTTTTTTAAATTGCAAGAAAAATCTATTTTAGAATGAGGCTGTAACGTAACAAAATGTGGAAGAAGTGAAGGGGTCTGAGTACTTTCCGAATGCACTGTATATTGAGGCAAAAATTACAGACCGTAGCCTACAATTAGCTAAATGGAACATGAAGTTTGAACATGAAAGTGATTTTAATGATTTTAAGGCCAATGTAGTCTGTATGCCTACTGTATTTATATTTTAATGCAGTCATCTCGGTTTTTATTTGAAGCATGTTTTTATCCTTCAACTTCATGCTGAAGTTATCGGCGGTGACAGAAAGACAGAAAAAACATCTTGATGCCATGTTTAGCGGATATCTTCTTTGTATAAAGTGACGCGGAAGGGCGGCAAAGAAGCATCTAAACGATGGGTGGTCTGAGGCAGTCGGTAAATAACAAGCTTTTTCAATTGCAACTTTAGTAACAATGGTTTTGGGAAACAGCTCTGTGATTTAACTATGCTCCTATGACGGTTCTAATGATGAACTTAGCCTTAAGATGCTTTTCAGAAAGTGGGCCCTGTTGAGTTTGCATAATCTGTCAAATAAGGACATGGTCGTCACGGTTTACTTATGGTTGTATTTGTTGTCTCATCAGGTCTCTCTGGACTATTTGACACAGGTCTGCACCACGCCAGCCCCTCTGGCCCAGACGCCTCGGTCATGAATCTGATCTCCGCTCTTGAGTCCCAGCGGGGTCCCCAGCCTCCACCCTCCGCCTCCTCCCTGCTTTCCCAGTTCCGCACGCCGTCCTGGCAGACAGGTGGGCATGTGACCAGACCTGTGTTGTAAATGTGTTGACATTCAAAACGGGGTCGCAAAAGTCAATATGACATTTCCAACGCCTCACAGCGTCGAATTGTTATTTCTCTCTCATGTCGCCATTGTATTGCCTCGCCTTATTCTGAATGGTCATTACTTTCAGTGTCAGTGATTTGCGTTGAGGTTATGTTGGTGTCATTTGGATATTGGATTGTCTTCCCTTTTTACATTTTACGGGAGGGGGGTGGGGGTACAATTTATTTAGTCATGCTTGTCAGTTTTTTCAGTTGACAGGTGTTGAATAATCGTCCTCTTATCTCTTCATCTGACTCTGACAGCGATGCACACCCCTGCCCCTGCTGAGCTCTTCATCTCCGGCTCGGGCTCCTTCCCCTCTTCCTCTGCCCTCTCGGCCTATCAGCACCCGGCCTCCTTCTCCAGCCGCTCCTTCCCCACCCTCCAGGACACTCCCACGTTCAGCCCCACCTCCAACGGACTCCTCTCCCCCCACGACCCTCTGCTGCACATCAAGGGTCCCTCCCAGTCCAGCCTGGGCTTCGACCGCCTCCTGTCCTCTCAGGGCGCCGCCGCAGCCTACCGGGGTGCCCAGGACCCTACAGGCGCCGCCGCCTCGGCCCAGGCTTCGTCGGCGCTCCACCTCCAGTCCCACCAGTTCAACCTGCTGTCCTCCCAGCTGCAGGACCAGTCCTCCCAGTTGTACAACGCCTCAGTGTTCTCCTCGGCCCAGGCTCAGGCCCAAGCTCAGGCCCAAGCTCAGGCTCAAGCTCAGGCCCAGTCTAACTCGGTCCAGGAGAGGGCTGTGCCCCGGCAGGACAGCGTAATCAAGCACTACCAGCGGCCCACGCCCTCCCAGTCACAGCTCTCCTCCTCTGCGGCCCACTCCCTGCAGCAGTACCTCAGTTGCGGCGGGGCCGGGTACCAGCAGATGGCCCACCACCGGCATGCCGGCCTCTCCTGCAGCCCCCTGGGTGACCAGAGTCCCTCCTCGGACCACAAGGCCTCTTCCCGGACAGAACAGGTGTACCGGCCCATCATCCAGCCCCCTTACTCGTCCTCCTCCAGCTCTTCTTCAGCAGCGGGGAAGGGCGCCAAGAGCAACTCCAGCAGCGGCTACTCCTCGGCCAGCTCGGTGTCCTCCTCCCGCACCCCTCACACTCCCCCTTCTGCGTCCTCCACTTCTTCGACCTCCTCTTCCTCCTCTGCCTCGGGAGCCCACCCCTCCAACTCCATCCCCCCCTCCAGCTCCAGCTCGGCACCCTCTAGACAGCAGCCTCCCCCCCAGAGCGCTCCCCCAGCTCCCCAGCAGCAGCAGCCCCCTCCTACCTCATCCACGTCTGCCCAGCAGCCCTTACCCAAACACAGGCTCTCGAACTACGGCTCACCCGTGGCCTTGGTGAAAACCCCCGCCACCGCCTTCACAGGCCAAACTCCGCCGCAACCGCAGACCCAGTCATACTCGCCCAGTCAGCCCCCTCTCTCCCACCTCCCCCAGTCCTATGGCGGCTTCAGCTCCCCTCAGGCCCAAGACCTGAGCTCAGCCGGGGGAAGAAAAGGCTACGGGAGCCTGGAAGGGCAAAGCCAGTCGTACTCGGCGGATGTGGTATACGGGGCTGACTCTGCTTACGGGTCCCTCCCCTCCTCTCTGGGCGGAGAGGGAAGTCCATCACTAAGTTACGGCCCAGGCCACTCCCCCGCCCTTTTACGGTCGGGTGGGTCGACTGGGGGCGGAACCTCAGGAGGCGGTGGTAGTAGCAGCTCAGGAGGTGGGAACTCTGGCTCAGGAGGAGGAGGAGCCGCGAGCAGTATGGCAAATGAGAGAGGAGGTGGCGGAGGAGGGTCTTACCATATCCCTGAGTCGAGCCCCTCCCCGTCGGCCAACTCTGGGATCATCCGTCCAGGGTTGCACTCCCCCGCCCCTGCCTGCCCCACCAAGTCCCCGGGAGGAACGGGCTCCAACAAATACATCTCCTCGGTCCTTTCCCCCACCTTCATGTCCTCCCCTCAGGGCTACCCCGACACCAGAGGCCCTCGGCCCCAGTCCTACCACCCCACCTCCAACAAGACCAAATCTGACCCCAGCAGCATGCTAGGTGTGGGCTCTCAGACGTCTCAAGAGGACGTGGACGACGATGACGACTTCTTGATCCAGCACCTTTTCCAAGCCCAGGCCAGTCCAGCGCCCCAGGTGTCCCACCACCACTCCCAGCAGCAACCATCTCAACAGACGGCCCAACAGCAGGCACCTCCCCAGCCCGTCTCCTCCACCACGGATGGCGGCAAAGGGCTGTCATCCTACGAGCTGGGAAAGAGCTCTGAGGAGAGGTGCCACCTCCAGAGCGTCATCCGCACCCACAGCGCCACCTCCAGCAACGGGGCCGGATCAGGCGGGGCAGTTACGGGCCAAGACAGACAGCTAGAGATGTCTCTCAAGAAACAGCAGCAACAACAACAACAACAACAGAGGAATGACAGACGAGGCGGTGGCAGGATTGGCGGAGGAGGGAGAGGAGGTGCCGAGCAAAGCCACCCTCACCTCCACCACTCTTTGGGGTCAGTGGTGCACTATGGCCGGGGCGACCCATACTCCCAGCACTCCCTGGGCCCCCAACACTCCTCCCACCCACAGCAACAGCACACCGCATCCCACACCCACCTTCAGTCCCTCGCTCACCTGGACCCGCAGAAGAAGCCACAAGAGCGCTCTGAGCTGGTGTACCCACGCAAGACCCCCGAGGTCCAGCAGCAGCACTCTCAGTCTCAAGCCTCAGCCTCCCTCATGGATTCCCCCACACACCAGTCCCGCCAAACGCCCCACCTGCTCCAGTCTGTGCTGTCCCACACCACCCGCAACAAGATGGAGCCCCATCAGCAGCAGCAGCATTCGGTGAGCCAACAACAAGCTATGATGGATGGAGCCGGAGGGCGAATGGGCCAGGATAAACACCAGACTCAGACCCAGCAGTCCTCCCAGCTTCAGCTACAACTCCAGTCCCAGGCTTTGGAGGCCGCAGCGGTGGCTGCTCACTACAGCCACGGACCTCCTCAGCAGGACCAGAGCCAGTCCAAGCAACAACAGCAGAGCTCAGTGGTGTCCTCCCTGGACATGCTGGAGTGCTCCAGTACAGATGGAGGGGGGGTGGAGGAGAGGAGAGGAGGACGTGGTGGAGGAGGAGGAAGAGGCGGAGGGAGCGGAGAGCGCCGCATGCAGCAAGAGCAGCAGAGGCTCTCGTCCCACCACCCTCAACACTCATCCTCGGAGGTCCACTCGTTACTCTCTGAGCCCGACATGGGCTTATCCGCCCCCTCGCACGTGCACCACCTTCCCCAACACCATCAACAACAGCTACACCCCAACTCCCACCACCAGCAAAGTCACTCAGGGCACCACCCCCACTCCCAAGGCCATGCTCACCCCCTGTCCCACCACTTGCCCCCTCCCTCAGCTTCCACCCACTCACAGCAACAGAAGTCCCAGTCCCACCCTTCCCAGCTTACCCCGGGCCAGCAGGTCCAATTGGACCAGCAACAGCGCTCCGAGCAGCACCCGTTTGACCCGGTGGAGAAAAGCGGTGGCCAGAGCCAGAATCGCTTCGTCCCGCTCACTTCCATCTGCTTCCCGGACTCACTCCTGCAAGACGAGGACCGCTCCTTCTTCCCCGGCATGGAGGACATGTTCTGCTCGGACGACTACTCCAAGTCGAGCTGCGCCGGAGGAGGCGTAGGCCCAGTGCAGGAGGAGATGAACCAAGAGGGACCAGGAGGAGGCCATGAGGAGGCCATGAAGGCTAATTCAGGAGGAGGAAGTGGAGGGGGAAGCGGAGGAGCCAGCTACGACATGCTGGGCCACCACGGCGGTGACCAGGGCTACGGGCAGTACTGCCACGGGCTCTCCGAGTCGGGCAACAGCACCATGGACCTGGACTCCCTCAAGACCAACGAGCTGCCCTCCACCGTCAATACGGAGCAGCTGGGCCTGATCCAGTTGCAGGGCCCCGGGATGGGCATGGGCGTCACCGGCCCGGGGAAATTGTCCTCGAGTCCAGGCGGGGGCGCTGGCGGTACTGGTGCCGGTCCTGGAGGCCTCACTTCACCCATCTTCTGCTCGTCGCGCCCCAAGAAGCTCCTCAAGTCGAGCTCATTCCATCTGCTCAAGGAGCGCCGGGACCCCAACACGCTGCCCAAGAAGAGCTACGCGCAGGAGTACGAGTTCGAGGATGACGAGGACAAGGACAACCAGCCGGCGGACATCCGCCTGAACAGCCGCCGGCTCCCTGACCTCCTCCCCGACCTGGTCTCCAGTTGCCGTAAGACAGGAGGTGGGGCCGGAGGAGGAGGCACGCTCAGCCCCCTCATGGGAGATCTTAACTTCTACCACTCGACAGGTTACCCCTCCCTCGGCCCCCCTCCCCAGCTCATGTCGCAGGACGGGCTCAAGAAGAGGGGCCGCAAGCCCACCAAGCAAAAGAGAGAGGGGCCTCCCAGGCCCAGGGGTAGGCCTCGCATTCGCCCGCAGCCCGAGCAGCACATGCCCCGCGGAATGTTGACCGGTGAGATGGGAGGAGGAACCGGAGTAGGAGGGGGGAATGGAGGAGGAATGGAGGGTAAACTGGTCAGGGGCCGTGGTGGTGGATGCCGGGTGAGGAGAAATGACATGTTTATGGAGATGACTGGGAAGGAGCAGATGCAGCAACACCACCTTCATCAGCAACAACAGCATCAACTCCACCACCAGGCTCCACCGCCACAGCATCAGGAGCCCATACCACCTCTCAAGGTGAGTGTGGATGATTTGATTTGAACTTTATTAATCCCCAGGGGGAAATATAGATGTCATAGAAGGCCTATACTTAAAGGGACATTACACTTTCAAATCAAAGTTTGTCAAACTGTTTCAGATCTCTAAAGTAGTCTAATGTCAAGATGAAACCACTTCCCATATATTTGGATCTACACAACCGATGACATGGGATGCGAACACATCATGACATCAGACTACTTGATGACATCTGACATCAGACTACATCATGACATCTGACAGCTTTTCATTTTGGAGTGTAATGTTCCTTTAAGGTTGCGGGAATAGCAAAGTTTACTGTACTGTACTCTATTGGCGTTTAACTAAACTTTTCCCCTTTTTTTCCTGTCGTAGATCAAACTGCCCATCGGCTCCATGTCCTCTTCTGACAACCTGCTGAGGATAGACTCTCTGTCCGGCACGGACCCTGCTCTGTCGGACGGCTCGGTGGGCTCAGCTCCCTCCCTTGGCCTGAGTCCCGGACCCCCGTGCGGAGGGGCAGACTCCAACCGGACCCAGAACAAGAGCAAGCAGAAGAGCCAGATGTTGAGTGACGGAGTGGACGGAGAGGGGATGGATGAAAGGGTAAAGGACGTTTAGACTCTGTTTGGCCACTCAATCAGTTTAAAGTTTTAATCCTGTGTGTTGTATGTGACAAAATGTTACCCTTCTCAGTTGGTAAAATGAAGAAGGGAAACCAGTATTTCCCCTCTCATGAACCTGAACCTATTTTTTCTCTCTTTATTCCCGACCCCCGACCCGCTCCCTCGCTGTCTCTGACTCTATCTCTATCTCTCTCTCTCAGGGGGATGAGAAGGATTCGGAATCCAAGGCGGGCTTCATGGCTTCCTTCATGGACTTCCTCAAGTCGGGAAAGAGACCTCCGGGCTTGGAAATGCCCCTGGGAATGGAATCAGGAAATGGTGACGCCTCACCTCTCAAATGTGGAGGGCTCTGTCCCTTGTCCCCAGCACCCCCTCCACCACCGCCTCCATTCGGGGAGGGTGAAGGCAATGGCGGCCTGGCCCTGGTTGGCTGCCCCAGCCCCTGCAAGCGCACCCTGGACGATGAGCTGAAGAGGAACCTGGAGACGCTGCCCTCGTTCTCCTCGGACGAGGAGGATTCAGTGGGCAAGAACCAGGACCTGCAGAAGAGCATTTCCTCAGCCATCTCAGCACTCTATGACACACCGCAGCTGGCCTTCCAGCCGCCCCCTCCTCCTCCCCCACCCCAGTCCCAACACCAACCCCAACCCAGGCAGGCCCAGATCACATCGACCACCCTGCAGCCCCCCACCCTCAGCCCCCAGACCCCCTCACACACCCCTCACACCCAGCCCCAGGCGGCCAAGCCGGCTGTACTACAGCGAGAGGACCGGGAGATGGAGGAGAATGATGATGAGGATGAGAGGAAGATGGGAGGAGGGGGTGATGATGAGAGTGAAGTGAAGGATATGGAAGAGGAGGCGCCAGAGTTTGAGACACTTGGTGCACCCAAATTAGAAGGTAAGGGAAATACCGTGCCGATACAGATCATATTGATGATATTTTGTTGTCCATTATTGCCAATACCGGTATGGCAAAAGGAGAAAAAAATATTTTGTTATCTATGAAATAGATTATCGTCTGGTACTGATCGCATACATTTTTATTGGCTGATAATATACTGTGTATACAGTGCATTCGGAAAGTATTCAGAGCCCCTTGACTTGTTTCACATATTGTTACGCTACAGCCTTATTCTAAAATGGATTAAATAGTTTTTTCCCCTCAGCAATCTACCCACAATACCCCATAATGACAAAGCAAAAACATGTTTTTAGAAATGTTTGCAAATGTATAAAAAAAACCCCCCGGAAATATCACATTTACATAACATTTCAAAACCTGTTTTCGCTTTGTCATTATGGGGTATTGTGTGTAGATTGATGAGGGAAAAATAATAATTTAATCCATTTTAGAATAAGGCTGTAACGTAACAGAATGAGGAAAAAGTAAAGGGGTCTGAATACTTTCTGAATGCACTGTATATATTGAACAAAATAAACGCAACATGCAACAATTTCAAAGATTATACTGAGTTACAATTCATATAAGGAAATCAGTCAATCAAAATACATTAATTAGGCCCTAATCTATGGATTTCACATGACTGAGAATACAAATATGCATCTGTTGGTCACAGATACGTTAAGAAAAGTAGGGGCGTGGATCAGAAAACCAGTCAGTATCTAGTGTGACCACAATTTGCCTCATGCAGCGCGACACATCTCCTTCGCATAGAGTTAATCAGGCTGTTGATTGTGGCTTGTGGAATGTTGTCCCACTAATCTTCAGTAGCTGTGCGAAGTTGCTGGATATTGGCGGGAACTGGAAAACGCTGTCGTACACGTCGATCCAGAGCATCTCAAACATGCTCAATGGGTGACATGTCTGGTGAGTATGCAGGTTATGGAAGAACTGGGAAATGTTCTGCTTCCAGGAATTGTGTACAGATCCATGTGACATGGGGCCGTGCATTATCATGCATGAGGTGATGGCGGCGGATGAATGGCACAACAATGGGCCTCAGGATCTCATCACGGTATCTCTGTGCATTCAAATTGCCATTGATAAAATGCAATTGTGTTCGTTGTCCATAGCTTATGTCTGCCCATACCATAACCCCACCGCCACCATGGGCACTCTGTTCACAACGTTGACATCAGCAAACTGTTCGCACACACGACGCCATACACGTGGTCTGCAGTTGTGATGCCGATTGGACGTACTGCCAAAATACTCTGGCAACAGCTCTGGTGGATATTCCTGCAGTCAGCATGCCAATTGCACGCTCCCTCAAAACTTGAGACATCTGTGGCATTGAGTTGTGTGACAAAACTGCACATTTTAGAGTGGCCTTTTATTGTCCCCAGCACAAGGTGCACCTGTGTAATGATCATGCTGTTTAATCAGCTTCTTGATATGCCACACCTGTCAGCTGAATCAATTATCTTGGCAAAGGAGAAATGCTCACTAACAGGGATGTAAACAGATTTGGGCACACTTTACATGTTACATTTATGTTTTTGTTTAGTGTAGGTAATATATATATTTTTGGAACCAGGAAAAACCTTTCCCCTTCTCATTTCTTACAATACTTTTCTTCATATTCTTGTTGTTTCAGCTCATGTCCCATTTTTCTTAGAATTGATTTTTACGAGTTAGCTCATGACAAATAATTATTTTAGCCTGTAGCTGTGCTGTTGCTGTAAAATTCTGCCCTTGAATTGATTTCCTATTGCACACATAGTAAAGAACTGATTAAAAGGAACGATAGTCCCATTGTTATGATGATAGTTCTAAAAGTTTGAACTGAATGATCTTAAAGGCCCACACTGTGATCTTTACAGCTGTTTTGGGTAATTTAAATGACGTTATATACCTATTGATTCTTGAAGAAAAATACATTAGCACTTCTCTCCTTATTCCAGCTTCCCTCCCAGAATCCCCAGTGGCACCAGTCGCCCCCCCACCACCCTCCGCCTCCCCCGCTCAATCCTTCTCTCCCTCTCCCCCGCCTTCCCCCTTACCTCCCCTCTCTCTCCCTTCATCACCCCTGCCCCCACAAGAAGCAGCACAACAACAGCAGAAGTCCCAACCTCCGAGCCCCCTCCCTCCTTTCAATCCCTCCCCTCTTCATCCTGCTCCCGCCACCCTCCCTCTCTTCTCCCCGCCTCCTCCGTCATCCCCGGCCTCAGAGTTCCCCAAGTACTCACCGGAGCCCCGTGGGTCCCCGGAAGACGCCCCTGCCTCTCAGGTCACCTCGCTGCACGTGGCCCAGAAGCAGGAAGATGCCGCCATCGCTGGAGAGAGCGAGGAGGACGAGAGTGAGAGCGGAGGTGAAGGCATTTTCCGAGAGCGGGACGAGTTTGTGGTGCGTGTGGAAGACATCGCAACTATGAAGGTATTTGTGTGTATGTGTATGTAAAAAATACATCACTAACCAACAGTTCAACAGTCGCTAGGTTTGATGGTTTGTCAATATAGTCCATCTGTTCCGTAAGTTAAGTGTGTGAGTGAGTATGTGTGTATTCATATATGGTAGGTGTGTGTTCAGTATGTGATGTATTGACTCCCTCACCCCTCAAACCCCAGCTGGCCCTGAAGACCGGTCGAGAGCCTCCCCCCATCTGGAGGGTGCAGAAAGCCCTGCTGCAGAAGTTCAGCCCCGAGATCAAGGACGGAGAGAGGCAGTTCTGTGCCACCAGCAACGTGAGTCAGTCCATCTGTCCACCCAACACATGACGGTCACTGCTCAATGTCAACACAGAATGCATGTTTCTGTCTATCAACAGGGCACACAACGGAAAATGTTAAAAAAACATTTTGTAAAGGAAAATGAAAATGAGTGTCACATAAGAAAAGTCTGGATAGTCTCTACCTGATTCAGTACCTTTTCCTCCATTTAGTGCATAATGAACACGACCCTAATGATGTTTCTGTGTCCGTCTAGGTGTGGTTGTTTGTTGCGTTTCAGGTCGTCTTAATTCTCAGAAGAGCATCTCAGAAGAGTGTTTATATCATATTAATGTGATTCCTGAGATCTAAAATGTCCAAACTGTTCCTAGATCAGCATTCGTGCTATTTTGCCTTTTTAGATTATAACAAATGGACAGTGGGGACCTGGTCCTAGATCAACACTCCTACTCTGAGATACTTTATGACTGCGGAACCTGATAAACTGTGTAGCTTAACTGCAATAAAGATGACCTGGAACAGGCCCATTGATTTGTGTGTACCCCAAGATGAATAGCTGTCAGGCATCCAAATAAACAAAATGGCTACTCTTTCTCTTCCTCAGTATCTGGGCTATTTTGGAGACGCCAAGAGGCGGTACCAGCGCCTGTACGTCAAGTTCCTGGAGAACGTTAACAAGAAGGACTACGTGAGAGTGTGCTCTCGACGACCCTGGCACAGACCATCCGGACTGAGGTACCCATTAGGGGATTTATTCAATTATATTCTAGACATGTCCAGTGTTTTATGCCTTCACTTCTCAAAGGTTTTTTTCCACCTTATCATTGAACAATCCATAGGACAGTACAGTCCGAAAGATATGTTTGGAAGGTTTATTGCTTGCACCTCTCAAATATACATTTCGGAGAGTGCTGTCCTGTTGAATGTCCATGTACAATATTTAAGAGGAAAATACAAGCCTAAAGAGTTAACACAGTGTTTAAACTTCCATCTAGCCATCCAATGTGTTCCAGAAAATCTGAAGTAGCCAGCATACTGAAAACGTAGCCAGCTAGAGGGTGCGAGGGCATGACCCCCACAAAATGAGGGTTAATAGTCAGCTATTTGGCTGGCAGCGGGTGCTTATGGAACTGGCCATCAGAAATATTGTTTCCTTCTCTTTATTCAAATCTCCACTCGTCTTCAACAGGCGACAGGCCCTCCCCAAAATGCCGTCCCCGCCTCCCACCACCCGGACACCGCCTCGAGCCGAGAGGGAGGAGAGTGAGCAGCGAGTGGTGCCGCCACGTGAGACAGTGCAGCGCGAACCGAGGGACAGAACTAGGGCAAAGAACGAACAGCGAGAAAAGGCGGCCGCGGGGGTGAAAGAGAAGAAGGAGTGGGAGAAAGAGAAGCAGAGAGAGAAAGAGAAGAGGGTGCAGCCATCTCTTGAGAAGCCTGAGAAACGGTCCGCCGTGGTGGCAACGACGGAACGAGGGAAGGGGAAAGAGGAGAAGAAAGGAGGAGTGGAGAAAGAGAAGATGGAGCGCCCTCCCAAGTCGAAGCCAGCCAAGGTCAAGGTGGAGCCTCCTCTGAAAAAGAGGAAGAAGTGGCTGAAGGAGGTCCCCTCGTCATCTGATTCAGACTCGTCCGAGGAGGCAGCCAGTGAGGATGAGAGTGAGACGCCGTTTTGCCTATAGGGCCGGTTTCCCAGACACGGATTAAGTGTAGTCCAGGACTAAAAAGCATTCTCAATGGAGATTCTCAATTGAAATAGCTTTTTAGTCCAAGACTAGGCATAAACTGTGTCCGTGAAAGTAGCCCGTAATGTTTTGTTACTTTGTGAACCCATTTTGTACCGATTATTGATAGTTACAACATACACACTATATAGTGCACTATAAAGGGAATAGGGTGCCAATTGGAATGTGCACTATAAAGGGAATAGGGTGCCAATTGGAATGCAGACAATATCTGTTTAGCCTATATGTATCAGTGTTTGTGCAGTCAAACTTGGTGGAGGGATTATGAAATGGTCGGGGGAGTAATAGGTGTCTGTATCTGCCCTCAATGAATGGAATAGAATGACTCACTTTCTTTGGGTGCGCCAGGTAGTGAATAGGAGGGGAGACAAAAATAAAATCTGTCAGGAATGTATTCGGCAATTAGGTAGAGATGCTGTGTGTGTGTGTAGGGTTGTCACGATACTACGATACTCAATTTTCCATGGCAAAAAGGAACACACAATGCAGACTACACTATTTTGTCCTTAAAGAATTGTATGTTACATATTGTGTGCTATAGCTTGGAAATGATTAATTTTTTTGTCTGTGTTACAACATAAGATAACATTATGCCCGTTTTCCTCAGTTTCCATGCCATGATACGCCTGAGCATTGTGATACAGGTATTGTGCCAACCCTATGTATGTGTTGGTGTGTGTGTTGTGTCTAACCCCTATATGTGTGTGTAACCCCTGTGCAGTGCCAGTGCGAGGCGGGGTGAACAACCGGGCCATGCGTGAGATGTTCAGGAGCTATGTGGAGATGCTGGTCAGCACGGCCCTGGACCCCGACATGATCCAAGCCCTGGAGGATACAGACGGTGAGAGCCCAGAACACACACACACACACACACACACACACATACATACACACGGCCCTGGACCTCGACATGATACAAACCCTGGAGGACAGACGGTGAGAGCAGAACACACTCAATTTCAAGGAATTATACATTTTATTTTGATTTCGGAACAAATTAAAATGTGGCACTGACTCGCCCATGGATTGATGATCCAGCATTGTCTCAATTAAGAATTCCGCGTTCGACTAGCTTGTGCGACATGCACGTGCAGTTACAAGCCTGCTAGAGTTAGCGGCAGGCGGATGAGAAATATCCACCGTCATAGTACGGATGAAGCCTGAGCTGGAATGTACACCTAACTGAAGCTGGCTAGCTTTAGAAAACCCTGAGTAGATTTAGCTTCATTCGTAGTATACCCCTCAGGGGAGAACGACTGCCCCCTCTCATTTAAGCCATGGACGTTCAAGGCTGACCACGGTACTGCAGGCATTGTTTTCAGAAAACAGGATCCCCTTCGTGGTCAATCTTCGTGTAAATAAAAAAAGGTTTTGAAGACGATTATGGTACCAATAATTGCTTCTAATACACAAGATGTAAAGAATGTCCTTGAACTGATTTATTTTTAAATGGCACATAGAAGAAGTTATAAGGATAATTTAGTTGCTAATGGAAACCTGCAGTACCCCGGTCAGCCTTCAGCTTGAGTTACTCAATGAGATGGGGCAGCACTGAGCTAGCCTGCAATGTCACTTCCTGGAGTAGCTCAAACTGCGCATGTTATGTCTCCATGAGACGCCATCTTAACCGACTTAATTTGGCTTCAATGCGCTATTGAGTCTTCACATAGGAATGAATGGTGTCACGTGATCGATGTCTTTGTCCATTCATTAACAGAACAAAAATATAAAGGTAACATGCAACAATTTCAAAGTTTTTACTGAGTTACAGTTCATATAAGGAAATCAGTCAATTGACATGAATAAATTAGTTCCTAATCTATGGATTTCACATGACTGGGCAGGGACGCATAGGCCCACCCACTGGGGAGCCAGTTGGGCTTTATTACAGACAGAAATACTCCTCAGTTTCATCAGCTGTCCGGGTGGCTGGTCTCAGACGATCCCGCAGGTGAAGAACCCGGATGTGGAGGTCCTGGGCTGGCGTGGTTACACGTGATCTGTGGTTGTGAGGCCGGTTGGACGTACTTGCAAATTCTCTAAAACAACAGGCTGCTTATGGTAGAGAAATTAACATGCAATTCTCTGGCAACAACTCTGGTGGACATTCCTGCAGTCAGCATGCCAATTGCACACTCCCTCAAAACTTGAAACATCTGTGGCATTGTGTCGTGTGACAAAACTGCACATTTTAGATTTGGCCTTTTATTGTCCCCAGCACAAGGTGCACCTGTGTAATGGTCATGCTGTTTACTCAGCTTCTTGATATGCCACACCTGTCAGGTGGGTGGATTATCTTGGCAAAGGAGAAATGCTCACTAAGGGATGTAAACAAATGTGTGCACAACATTTGAGAGAAATAAGCTTTTTGTGCATATGGACATTTATGGGATCTTTTATTTCAGCTCATGAAACATGGGACCAACACTTTACATGTTGCATTTATATTTTTGTTCAGTATACAGTACCAGTCAAAAGTTTGGACACACTTACTCATTCAAGGGTTTTTCTTTATTTTTACTATTTTCTACATTGTATAATAATAGTGAAAACATAAAAACTATGAAATTACACATATGGAATCATGTAGTAACCAAAAAAGTGTTAAATAAATCAATATATTTTAGATTCTTCAAATAGCCACCCTTTGCCTTGATGACAGCTTTGCACACTCTTGGCATTGTCTCAACCAGCTTCACCTGGAATGCTTTTCCAATAGTCTTGAAGGAGTTCCCACATATGCTGAGCACTTGTTGGCTGCTTTTCCTTCACTCTGCGGTCCAACTCTTCCCAAACCATCTCAATTGGGTTGAGGTCGGGTGATTGTGGAGGCCAGGTCATCTGATGCAGCACTCAATCACGCTCCTTCTTGGTCAAATAGCCTTTACACAGCTTGGAGGTGTGTTGGGTCATTGTTGAAAAACAAATGATAGTCCCACTAAGCGCAAACCAGATGGGATGGCGTATCGCTGCAGAATGCTGTGGTAGCCATGCTGGTTAAGTGTGCCTTGAATTCTAAATAAACCACCAACAGTGTCACCAGCAAAGCACCCCCACACCATCACACCTCCTTCTCCATGCTTCACGGTGGGAACCACACATGCAGAGATAATCCATTCACCTACTCTGCGTCTCACAAAGACATGGCGGTTGGAACCAAAAATCTCAAATTTGGACTCATCAGACCAAAGGACAGATTTCCACCGGTCTAATGTCCATTGCTCGTGTTTCTTGGCCCAAGCAAGTCTGTTCTTATTATTGGTGTCCTTTAGTAGTGGTTTCTTTGCAGCAATTCAATGAAGGCCTGATTCACGCAGTCTCCTCTGAACAGTTGATGTTGAGATATGTCTGTTACTTGAACTCTGTGAAGCATTTATTTGGGCTGCAATCTGAGGTGCAGTTAACTCTAATGGTCCTCATGAGAGCCAGTTTCATCATAGTGCTTGATGGTTTTTGCGACTGCACTTGAAGAAACTTTCAAAGTTCTTGAAATGTTCCGTATTGACTGACCTTCATGTCTTAAAGTAATGATGGACTGTCGTTTCTCTTTGCTTATTTGAGCTGTTCTTGCCATAATATGGACGTGGTCTTTTACCACCCATACCTTGTCAAAACACAACTGATTGTCTCAAACGCATTAAGAAGGAAAGAAATTCCACCAATTAACTTTTAAGAAGGCACACCTGTTAATTGAAATGCATTCCAGGTGACTACCTCATGAAGCTGGTTGAGAGAATGCCAAGAGTGTGCAAAGCTGTCATCAAGGCAAAGGGTGGCTATTTGAAGAATCTATTGGGGCGGCGCACAATTGGCCCAGCGTCGTCCAGGGTAGGGGAGGGAATGGCCGGCAGGGGATGTAGCTCAGTTGGTAGAGCATGGCGTTTGCAACGCCAGGGTTGTGGGTTCGATAAAATAATGTATGTGCTAACTGTAAGTCGCTCTGGATAAGAGCGTCTGCTAAATGACTAAAATGTAAATGTAAATGTATATGTTTAACACTTTTTTGGTTACTAAATTATTCCATATGTGTTATTTCATAGTTTTGATGTCTTCACTATTATTCTACAATGTAGAAAATAGTAAAAATAAAGAAAAACCCTGGAATGAGTAGGTGTGTCCAAACTTTTGACTGGTACTGTATATACAGTTATTGCAAGAGACGTTCCGTCTTTTGTTGACCATTTAGAATGCAATTTTGTGTGGGCCAAATAAACATTTTGGGGAAACAGTATTGTGAAACACAATCATTCCACTATTACCGTAGACATATTAAGAACGTTTTCTGAAATTACAATGCAAAAATATTACATAGCTCCTTTAATCAAATGTTATTTTGTGTTAAATTGTATATCACAGTACACATTTAGTAATGACAGGATGCATTTGAAACTTCACAAGCAGTAAAACTTTTCTATGACTTCATGCGTTTTGTGGGGAAAAAGGAGCTTGTGCATTGATAAGCACACCAAAGACGATGTTAACAATATGATTAATAAAAGAAAGACGGCCTATTTCCCACCATAGCCAGCTGTATTTGCAGGATAACCTTTCTTTCATTTTGATTTCGGCATTACTATTTCAGCGTTGTCTCAATGAAGACTTTGGCGTTCGACTAGCCACGTTCAACACGAATGCGCAGTTACAAGCTGGCTCAAGTTAACAGCGGTTGCATGATAAAAATCCATCTTCGTAACATGGATGAAGCCTGAGCTGGAATTTGAAGCTAACTGAAGCTGGCTAGCTTTAGAAAATCATGAAAAGATCTAACTAGCGTCGTAGTATACCCCTCTGGACCCCGACATGACACAGCACAAACACGGCCCTGGAGGACACTGACAGTGAGAGCAGAACATACTCACTCACTACACACACGGCCCTGGACCCCGACATGATCCAAATCCTGGAGGACACAGAAATTGAGTTTAGAACACACTCATTCACATTCACATTCACACACACACACACACACACACACACATACACTACTCTACCAATATATTGTTAGAACAGCTGTATCTAACATACAATACACACCAGTGGGCCTGGGTCATATTCATTAGGCACCAAATTGAAGAAATTGGATTGAAACAGGGTGGGACTATTTGGAAGTGTTTCAATAGGAAATGCTGATTTGCGTATTCTGTTACAAAACATTTAAAAACGTTTTCCATGACGTGTCCTAATGAACACAGCCCTGTTCAGGAGCATGCAAAGTTACAGAATGTCCAGATAGACAGACATATATTGTGTAGAACAGATATGATTATCTATCATGTTAGAATTGGGAATCATGTCTGATCTATTCATAACATTCAGAATGTTTCACCTCACTGGCTACACCCCAGTGGTATCCAGGGAGTTGGAGTTAGGATTCGTCCCTAAGGGAGACAGAAAGACTAACTTACCCGCCATCGTTTGGGACAAATCCTAACTTTTCAATGCCCCTTGGGGCAGAGAAATGTTCGCAAATCTGAAGTAATGGACATAGATCTTGCAATATGTCAATGATTTGTGAGAACGTACATGTTGCCTCATGCGTGTCCCAAGTTGAGGATTTGGCCCTAAATCATTCTGATTAGGAGTTAGATATAATTGATAGAAAGGGACACTGTAGCCTGATTCACACAATAGGGCCAAACTGAGCCAGGCTGAACTGGCCTGGCCTGGTTACGCATTCACCATAGCTGCTGGAACCATGCTAAAAAAGACAAGGTTAATAGAAAGTGTCTGAGTCAGCAGTTGCTTTGTATTCATTTGTGAACAGCAACTAGTGTGGTCATGTCAGCTGTAATATGTCAGTAAAGAGTTTGGTAAGGGCCCAACGTTTAACGTTAAATTGA